GAGTGATGGTGGCAGTTTTTAAGGGAATGGGAATAGAGCCAGAGGAGAGGGACAGGTTGACGATGTCTATGATAAGTGGGGCAAGGAGGTGGAGCTGGGAGATAAGGAGTGGAGTGGGGATGGGGTCAAGGGAGCAGGTGGTGGGTTTCAGGGATAGGATGAGTTTGGTGACAGAGGGTGGGGAAACGGGTACGAAGGTGTGTAGGGGAGGATGGGTAGGAGTCGGAGTGTGGGAGGGAAGGGGTGGGTGGTGGGTGGAAGTTGGAGGGGAAGTGACCGCGGAGCGGATTCCCTTGATCTTGGATTCAAGGAAATCCAGCATCTCCTCGCAGTGAAGGTTGGAGGAGATGACCTGCGCGGGGTGGCGGGGGGGACGGAGGAGTCGGGATGTGGTGGAAAACAGTAGCCTGGGGTTGTTCTTCGCCTCCAGGATTATCCTGGAGTAGAAGGACGATTTGGCCGAGGCTAGAGTGGAGCGGTAGATTTTGAGGAGGTCCAGCCAGATTTGTCGGTGGACCGTTAGGCCAGATTTGACAGGTGCGTTCAGCGGCCCGCACCTGGCTCTTCAGTGAGCGGAGGTGGGTGGTGAACCAGGGGGAGGAGCGAGAGTAGGAGACAGTACGGGAGGTGATGGGGCAAGAGTGTCAAGTGTGGAGGAGAGGGTGTTGTGGAGGAGGGTGAGAGCAGAAGAGGGGTCGGTGAGGGTTGAAGGCCAGAGGGAGAGGAGTTCAGAGGACTCCAAGGCAGAGGTTAGGGATTGAGGGGGTAACTTCTTCCAGGGGCGGTAGAAGATGGTGGTGGGTCTGGTGGAGGTGGGGAGGGGGGTGGAGGTGGTGAAGGAGATGAAGTGTGGTCGGAGACGGCCTTGTCGGTGATGTTGACATCCGAGAAACTGAGGCCCTGGGTGATCACCAAGTCGAGTGGGTGGCCGTGACTGTGAGTGGGGGAGTTGATGTGGAGGGAGAGGTTGAGCGAGGAGAGCAGGGAAGAGAAATCTGAGGAGATTGAGCAGGAGGGGGTGAAGTGCAGGTTAAAGTCGCCCAGGATGATGAGGCGATCAGAGCAGAGGCAGAGAGATGTGAGAAGTGTTGAGATATCAGAGATAAAGGTGGGAGAGGTTTTAGGGGCCGGTAGAGGAGGAGGATTTTAAGTGAGAGGAAGGAGGGGTGGGAGAGGGTGAGGTGCTCAAAAGAGGGGAAAGAGCCAGAGGAGTAGGGGGATAGGGCAAGTGGTGTCCTTGAGATAAGGGCTACACCACCGCCACGGCGGTTGGGGCGAGGGATGTGGTGGGAGGTGTAGCCGGGTGGTGTGGCCTCCGTGAGGGGGAAGGTGTCGCCTGGGGTGAGCCAGGTTTCCGTTAAAGCCATGATGTCAACGCTCTCATCAAGGATGAGATCGTTGATGACCAGGGCCTTGTTACAGAGGGAGCGGATGTTTTGAAGTCCGATGTGGATGGAACGGTTGACAGAAGGGTGTGTGGGGAGGGAGGGGGGTCCAGGTTGTGGGGGAAATGGGGATAAGGGAGGAGAGGTTGGCTCCCCGGGTCTGTGTCCGGGGTGGGTGGCGAGTGTGGTGGGGAATGGGGCAGTCGATGTGGCTGCTGCTGGACAGTCAACGCCGAGTGCCATGGTGAGCCCGGCGGAGGATTCCCAGGCTGGAACAGAGGGAGGTTGTGGGAGGGTCAAGTGGGGATAGAAGGTGAGAGGGACGGAGAGAGAGGAGGAGAGAGCAGGAGAGATGCAGAAGGGGGAGGGTTTGGGGGTAGAGAGGAGGGAGGAGGGGGTGAGGGGGCTCGGGTCATAGCCATATTGCGCACGCGGGGACCGGGAGCGAGCGGTCAGGTGGACGGACACATTATCCCATGGGCTGGGGCAGCCAACCTAACAGGACCATGGTGGGCCTTGATGTGAGCCCTGGGGGGGGGGGTCGCAAAGGTTTTTTTTTTGTATCGCGCGCACACTCCTGAAAACTATGATGTCAGCGGTTCCCCCGCTTCGCCCCAACCCGTTTCTTCCTCAGCCCCACAGATCAGCTGTGCTGGTCTCCCTGCCGCGTCGAGCTTAAGTACCTGAGAAGGTAGGCCCAGCTCCTCCCCGCGCTGTCCTGGCGCCGCTCCCTGCTATATCAAATGCAAGTATTATTATTATATAGAATATGTCTGGGTATATGGCAGGGCAACTGAGACTGGTTGCATGCACAATGTGTGCCATGGGGAAAATCAGGAATCTTTGTGTGCCCTGGACAGACATATGTGTAGGAAATGTCTCTGGCTGCTTGAGCTCTGAGCTTGAGGAGAGGCTGGTGTCATTACATAGCATATGGGAGGCTGAAGAGTTCATGAATCAAATGTTTCAGAAGGTGGTCAGCCCACAACCACAGAGGGTTCAGAAGGAGAGTGAGTGGGTGACCACCCAACATTGTAGGATGAGGGGATGGGTAGTGCAGAAATTCCATGAGAGTGTGGCACTCACAAACTGGTTCTCTGTCTCTGACTCCAAACACAAAATACTGCAGATGCTGAAAATCTGAAAATTCTGGAAATCTGAAAACAAGTATTATACAGAATAGTTGCTATATTGAATATTGATTAGAGTGATGATACCTCTGGAGGGGAGTCAAAAGCAAATGGATGCACAGGGGTACACAGGGAAGAGTGTCAATACAATTGTCATTGGGGACATAATGGTAAAAGGAGTAGACAGTTGCTTCTGCAACCAAAGACTTGACCCTTGCATGGTATGTTGCCTTCCTGGAGCCATGGTTGAAGACATCACAGAATGGGCAAAATATTCTACAGGCGGAAGGGGGACATCCAGAAGTCATGGAGGGGGAAAAAAGGCTGGATTCTATAGGGAGATTATAAGAAGCTAGGGAAAAAGCTAAAGAGCAGGACCTCAAAGGTGGTTATCTCTGGAATTATCCCAGTGCCTCATGCAAGAAAACAGTAGGATCAAACATATGAATGCATGGCTGGAGAAATGATGCATAAAGAAGGGCTTAAAATTGCTGGATCATTGGGACCAGTTATGGGGCAAGTGGGACCTGTACAAGGTGGATGGGTTACACCTGAACAGGGCTGGGACCAATGTCCTCCTAGGGAGGTAAGCTATTGCTATGGGGAAGGGTTTGAATTAATTTCGAGTGAGGAAGGGAATCAGGATGTAGCATTGGAGAGGACAACCAAGTTATGTGGAGAGCTGGCAGAGACGAATAGCAATGTACAACGGAGTAATCTAGAAAAAGGAATGATTAGATGGGGGAGAAATGCATAGCAGATGAAGTCGGTTTTGGAGTGCTTGTGCGTAAATGCACGGAGTGTGACAAATAAGCTTGGTGAGCTGCAGCCTCAAGTTGCCACATGTGGAAATGACATAGTGGCAATAATGGAGACCCAGCTAAACAATAGCAGGAATGGGGGCTGAATATTCCTGGCTACAATGTATTCAGGAGGGATAGGGAAGGAAAGAGAGGAGGGGGTGCTGGGCTGGCAATATTGATTAAAGACACAGTTACGGCCCTGGAAAAGAACAATGTGTTAGAGGATCCAAAAAGAGAATCTATTTGGTTAGAGTTACGAATAGAAAATGAGCAGTTACTCTGTTAGGTATTTACTATAGACCACCAGTTAGTGGGAAGGAGATAGATGAGCAAATCTACAAGAAGATTTCAGAAAGATCCAAAACCGATAGAGTAGTGATAATAGGGGACTTCAATTATCCTAACATAGACTGGGAAAATAACAGTGTAAAGGGGAAGGATTCCTGAAATGTGTGCAGGATAATTTTTCTGGAGTATGTTTCCAGCCCAACGAGGAGGAAGCATTGCTGGATCTAGTTCTGGAGAATGAAGTGGAGCAGGTTTCAGTAGGAGAGCATCTGGATAACAGTGATCACAACATTGTTAGTTTAGAATACTTGTGGAAAGGGACAAGGTGAAGATACTCATCTGAAAGAGGGCTAATGTCAGTGAGTTTAAAAAGGGACCTATCCAAGGTGGACTGGAAAGAAATATTGGCAGGTAAAACAGCTAATGAGCACTGGGAAGCCTTCAAGGAGGAGATAGTTCGAGGACAGAACAAATACATTCCCGCAAAGGGAAAAAGTAGGGCATCCTCCCTTGATGATTAAAGAAATTGGGATTAAAATCAAACAGAAAAAGGAGGCTTATGATAACTGTCCAGTCTAAAATATAGAAGATAATCAAAAAGAATATCGAAAGTACAGAGGAGAATTTAAAAAGGAAATAAGAGGGTCAAACAGATTGTATGAGAAAAGATTAGTGTGTAAAAATAAAGTATTTTATCAGCATATGAAGAATAAATGTACTCAAAGTAAGCGTGAATCCAATTAGGGACCAAAGAGGAAATCTTCTTGTGGAGGCAGAGGGCACGGCTGATGTACTGAATGAGTACTTTGCATCTGTCTTCACAAAAGAAGAGGATGCAGCCAATGCCACAGTATCGGAGGAAAGGGTAGACAAATCGGATAAGAATAAATAGAGGAGTTACTAAAAAGATTGTCGATGCTCAAGGTAGATAAATTGTTCGGTCCAGACAAGATGCATCCTAGGTTACTGAGGGAAGTAAGAGTGGAAAAATGAATGCTCTGGCCATAATCTTTCTATCCTCCTTGGACACTGCATTGGTGCCGGAGGACTGGAGTTTTGCAAATGTTTCTCTCCTGTACAAAAAGAGGCAGAAGGATAAACCCAGTAAGTACAGGCCAGTCAGCCTAATGTCAGTTGTGGAGAAACTTCTACAGATTATAATCCGGGAAAAAATAAATTTTCACTTAGAAATATGGGTTAATGAAGGACAGACAATGTAGATCTTAAAGGCAAATCAAGTCTAACAAACCTGATAGTTTTTTTATGAAGTAACAAGGAGGGTGGATGAAGGTTGATGTCGTTTATATGGATTTTCAAAAAGCATTTGATAAAGTGCCACATAAGAGGTGTATAAGCAAAATAGAAGGCCATGGTATTAGAAGGATAATGGCAGCATGGGTACAGAACTGGCTGGGAGACAGAAAGCAGAGCGTGGTGGTGAATGGTTGTTTTCTGATAGCAGGCAGGTGAGCAATGGTGTCCCCCAGGGGTCAATATTGGGGCCACTGCTGTTTTTGATCGACACAGGTTACCTGGAATTAGGTATATCGAGTACAATTTACAAGTTTTCAGATGATACCTCAACAGTAAGGAGGATAGTAGCAGACTACAAATGGTCATAGACAGACTGGTAAAACGGGCAGACAAGTGGCAGAAGAACTTCAATGTGGAGAAATGTGAAGTAATGCATTCTGGGAGGGAGAATGCGGAGAAGCAATATAAGCTGATGGTACAAAAGTCAGAAAGTTATGATGAACCTTTATAACTGGTTAGGCCTGTATTCAGTTCTGGGCAACACACTTTAGATTTGAACCAACTCGCTATGTGAAAAAAATTCTCCTCACCTCCCCTCTGTTTCTTTTAACAACTATTTTAAATTGGTGCTCTTGGGTTACTGACCCACCTGCCAGTGGATATAATTTTTCCTTGTTCACCCAATTGAATTCCCTCATAATTTTGAAAACTTCTATTAAGTCTCTGCTTAACCTTCTCTGCTCCAAGGAGAATAATCCTAGCTCTCTAGCCTCTCCTGATAACTGAAGACCCTCATTCTTGGTACCAACAACAACAAGAAAATTACATTTGTATAGCGCCTTTCACGTCGGGAGGATGTCCCAAGGTGCTGACCATCCTGGTAAATCTCCTTTGCACCCTCTCCAAGCCTTGACATCCTTCCTAAAGTGTGGGGCCCAGAACTGAACCCGGAATCGAGCTGAGGCCTAACCAGTGTTTTATATAAAGGTTCATCATAACTTCCTGACTTGTGTACTCTATGCTCCTAGTTATAAAGCCTAGTATCCCGGATGCTCTTTAACAGCTGTATCTGCCTGTCCTGCCACCTTCAAAGATTTACTATATGACCCCCAGGTCTCTCACCCCCTTTAAGATTGTACCATCATCTTATATTGCCTCTCCCCATTCTTCCTCCCAAAATACATCACTTCACATTTCTCCACATTAAACTTCATCTCCCTTCGTCTGCTCATTTTACAAGTCTGTCTATGTCCTCTTGCAGTCGACTACTATCCTCCTCACCATTGACTACTTTTCCTAGCTTAGTATCATCTGCAAACTTGGACATTGTACTTCCTATACCCAAGTCCAGGTCATTTATATAGACCAAAGCAATAGTAGTCCCAATACTGACTTATGGTGGACACCACTCTTCACTTCCCTCCAGTCAGAAAAACTACCATTCACCACCACTCTTTGCACTCTGTCTCCCAGCCAGTTCTGTATCCATGTTGCCACTGTCCCTTTAATAACACGGGCTTCTATTTTGATTACAAATCTCTTATGTGGCTCTTTATCAAACACCTTTTGGTAATCCATGTAAACTACATCATCTGCACTACCTTCATCCACTCTCCATTACTTCATTAAAAATGAGTGTACTGAAAGGATAGGACCAGATGGGCTGATGGGCCATGTTTAATTGCACCAATCTATTGTTCATAGAGTTCTGAGCCTCATGAAAATTTGGTAAGAGAATTGAGGTTATTAGATTTAACAGTAAATTCAAAGAAGGAAGAGTGTGGGTTTGTTGATTGAGTGCCAGGTTAGGTGGTCTTCTCCTGCTTGAAATAGTCACTATGTTATAATTTAATGTGAAAGTATCTCTAGGGTAAACTATCAGTTGAGGTTGTTTACTTGGATGGAGAATGGAAGTTGGAGTCACAAGTAAATGCATATTATGTATAAGGGATTATTCTACCTCTAACCATAGGGATCTGAGAAAGTAACCGATTAAAAATGATGGGGTGGGTCAAATGAGAGCAGTATTTGGATTTTGAAGGGGCGGTGAATTGGGGATAAGGAGGGGTGAATAATAATAGGTGAGACGGAGTGGTATTTAAAGGGATGTTAAAGGATGGTTAAATGAAGAGATAAGCATGGTGATGATGGGGAGCTGAAAGTCAGAGATAGTAGAACAACAACAACAACAACAACAAGATTCCATTTATAGAGCGCCTTTCACGTCAGGAGGACGTCCCAAGGCGCTGCACAGTTGGGTCATGACCCGAGCATTGGGGGGAAATGGTCAGGGTGAGGGGAGGGAGGGAGAGAGGAGGGGGAAATGGTCAGGGTGAGGGGAGGGAAGGGAGGGAGCGAGGAGGAGGAAGAGAGTCGAGAGGGGAGCTGAAGGCTCGGTCAAAGAGAAAGGTTTTGAGACCGGCCTTGAAGGAGGAAAGGGAGGAAGCAAGGCGAAGGCACTGGGGGATGGAGTTCCAGAGCCTCGGGGCTGAGAGGCTGAAGGCCCGACCACCGATAGTAGGGCGGTTGGGGCGGGGGACGTGGAGCAGACCGGAGCCAGAGGAACGGAGGGTACGGGCAGGTAGGTAGGGGGATAGTAGGTTGGAGAGGTAGGAGGGAGCAAGGCCGTGAATGGCCTTGTAGGTGAGGATGAGGATCTTGAAATCCAAAAGAAGAAAAGAAAGGGTGGAGAAGATATGAGAGGGGTGTTGAAGGGGTGGTGAAAAGATAGTGACTTAAAGGGGAGGTGAAAGGATGACATAGGAGTGGTATTAATGATGTCACTGACGGTGGGGATTAAGCAAAGCTGATCTGATTTAATTGAGAATTTACTCTGTATAATCGGGTGAAAAGATTGTACCAGGGATTAATCGTATTCTGTGGTTAAACACATTTATTAGGGAAGGGTGGATAAAGATAAATATAAATATCTCCAGCCTGCCTTTTTCCATTTACACCATCACAACTGCAGACAGTTATCAGATTCGGCAGCGTGGCCCTGAGGTGAGTGACCAAAGGAGTGAGGCAGAGAAGAGGATGACCAGAAACCAATGCCTACATCATTCATCTCATGCTTAGGTTTTAAAGAGTTTTCTGTCTCAGTATCTACTGTAACATATCTTTTGGAATTGATGTGCCTTTGTTTGATTTAAATCTTTGTTTTGGTTCTCGTTTCTCTTCGCTTATTCCCATTCTGTCTTTTGAAGTCTGATTCTTTCCTCATTATCTCCATATATCTCTCATTTTTTTGGTCTGATAAGTGGCTAACACAATGAAAAACCCATTGCCATGCCTGAAATTATCCAAACCAAACTGAGAGTTCAATGCATCTCACCTGGAGTTGGATGCATTCTACTTACATAATTCTGGAAAGTATCCTGCACACTTTAGCAAGAGCCAAGGCTTGGGCACCCTAGCAAAAACCGCACAGCTTGCCATTGATATCACTGTCTGGCAAGCCTTCCTGCTGCTTGTCCAGCTCGGACCACCCTCCCATTAGCAACCCCATGTAAGACAATCAACAACTGTTCATTAGACATCCGATACACATCAATGTCTGCAACATGTTCTAGTGATTTTAATTACTCTATCCTGTTCCCCGCCATGTTCTTTCTGTCCATTTTTCTCACTGTCCTGTTCTCCCCTTACTTTTTCTCTCTCTGTTCTTTTTCTCTCTGTGTCCTTTTTTTCCATTTTTTTCCCCTGTATCCTAGCCTTTCTCATATTTCTTTCTGCTTATTGTTCCCTCTCTCTTTCAATTTCTTCTTTTTCTCTTTCTGTATATTCCTCTCACTGTCATTTGGTCAATCATTCTCTGCCTTGTGCTTTCTGCGTTCTGTCTTGTTACCTGTACTTTTCTCTTTTGATTGTTCTCTTTTCCCCTCTGTCCTTTTTGTGATATTTTCTCTCATCCTCCCATTTTTCCCTTTCTCTCCTTTACTCTTTGTTCATTTTCTGTCTGTCTCTCTGTGTTTTATTCTATCATTGTTCTTTACACTCTCTGACTCTCTATCTTCTTTCTCTCTGTGCTTTATTTCCCTCACTCTCTTCCTTTCCCTCACAATCCTTTATTGTTTTCCTCTTTATTTTATTCTCTCCCGGACCTTTTATTCCTGTCTTTTTCTCACGCTAGCTTTTCTTTCAATTTCTGTGTTAAATTCCCTCTCTCATACTCTCTGCAACTTTCTCTTTCGTTGTTTTTGTCATTTTTAGTTGCCCTCTCTGTATATTTCTCTCTCCTTTTCTGTTATGCCATCCATCCTTTTCTCTCTTTAATTTTGTCAATTTCTCTACCACACTCTGTGTGATTGTTGTAGTGACTGGCTTATTGAGGAGACACACTAAGAAAGGAGGGATGGAGAAGAGACGCAATGAGAACACAATGATGCAGAGCAGATACACAGAGAACAGGTGAATTAGCTAGATATTTCACACATACAGAAACTGACCACCATGCTTAAGAGTACCCAAACCAGACAGAACTCCAGATTATGCTAAAAGCACAGTGCTTGCTACTGAGAGCACTGTATGGCAAGCTGAACATTGTTTTTCCAGGTCGGAATACTCATCCTGCTAGCCTTTTAGAGTTAGTGTAGTAGAATGATAACAAGACCTGTCCCAATGATTGGTCTGCCCTTCCAAGTCCTGCTGATCAGCCAAGCTGGGCTGGACTGTCACCAGTAATACCCTGGAGTGCTGTGGACATGCATAACTCAGGAACTGGACTGGAGACCAACAGAGTGTTGACTCAATTTCAATATTGAAATATTTGAAACTTTGCCAAGCATGTAACCTTAAGGCCAGTTCATTTCCAAGGAGACCCTGCATACTTGGACCCCTCTCCCCAAAGAAAGACAGTCAACAGTTACGCATTTGAAATCTGATGAGTTCAGTTCACGTCAGAAGGTGACTAGGTACCACAGCCAGATTAGGATGAACTGTATGAAAGCATGGCCACCATCTTCTTGCCCACAGCTCAGACATGTGTCCCTTCCCATTGAGTGATGGTTCCACCTGTTAGAAGTGTAGAACTTGAACAGCAACTGCTTATCTCTCTGCTAACCAATTAAGGTGGATTCCAAACCTTGTAAACATAACTGTGTGTTCACAAACTTGGACTACAATTAATGCCTTTTAAGCAGCTGCATTCTCTGACCACCAGTTTCCTCTTCAACTATTCGAGGGACATCTGCCCTCAGCAGTGATTGGACCTTTAAAAACAAACAACTTTCATTTATTTAGCACTCTTCATGCAAAGCAGCAGCTCTGAATGCTTAACAGTTTCTGATGCCCAGCTGGAAGAGAGCAAAGATGACAATTGACACAGGAAGTTCTTCAGGTATGATTTAAAGAAGGGCAAGTTGGGACAAATGGAGTGAAGAAAGGAGTTCTAAAGTTTCAGGAAGCATTGACTGAAAGCGTGGACCTGATGATGGAGTGGAAGGGAAGAGGGACATACAGGAAGCCAGAGGCAGCCAAACTGAGGGTGCAAATAGAGGAGACAGGTCACAACTTAGCAAAGCATGAAGTGATCTATACACGACTATGAGCATCTTAAAATTGATCCATTCTGCAATAAGGAGACAATGGTGCATGGCAAGGACTAGGTTGATGGAGGTACCGATATTGGTATGAGCGATGAGGCTTTGAATCAATTGGATTTTATGAGTGCGTTTCAGCTACGTTGAATGGTTTGTGAGTGGACTGGGTAGAAAAGTGATCCTGGTCAGGGACCAGATGTGGGGAAGGAAGGATAACTGAGGATTGAAACTGATGCCAAGTTGTGAATAGGGTGAGTGAGTCTGTGGAAGGCTGGGAATTTAAGGAGATCAGAGGTGAGAAGACGTTAACAGAAGCTGAGGAAGATTGCCTCCATCTTGTCAATATTCAACTGCAGAAAGTTGACTCTCATCCAGGTCTGTCTGCCAGGCAATTGGACAGATCAACATTGGACCTGGGGGTCACAGCTAGGAAAAGAAAAGTAGGTTTTGGTGTCATCTACATACATGTGGAGGATACCCACTTGAGGAAGAATGTAAATCAGAAAAAAGAGGGGGCCAAATGTAGAGCCTTGATGCAAGTGATCATGCAAGGATGGAATGAGAAACCATTTGAAGAGACAGATCTTGGTGGCGGTCATGGCGCAAGTTGGATTCAAACCCAGAGAGTGCAGTCTTGTGGAGAGGGCATGATTGACTACTCTTGATGTTCTGGAATTCCACGTCCAATGCTGTGTAACCACTCTTGCCCAACTGCTTAATCTGGGTCATCATGTGAGGGGTTTTGGTAGTATTCATACTCAGCATAAATCTGCTCAATAACAGGCCCAAACCCTCCCTTCCTGCAGGTAGCTTCCTCTGTTTACCACAAATCCATCACACTTGAATAGAGGAAGATACAGGAGACAAACTGTAGTAGTATACCATGAGACTCCCATAGATCTTTACAACTTATGGTTGGTTGAGATTGTGTTAACCCTCTGAATCATTTTCTGCAGACTCTACAACAGTAGGATGGAGTTTGCACGTGCTACAAGAGCTAGTCTGCTGGGGTCGCTAACTCCTGAGTACTTCAGTCAAGGTTAGTGTTTGTCTCTCTCACTCTTGCTGTCTGCCACATTTATAACAGTTTTCTGGTCATCCAAGTGGTTGACACAAGTGGAACCTCACCAGCTGCTTTAGAATCTGAAGCCCTTTGGGAAAAGAAGGATACAGACAAGAAACCCCAGGGACAGACAATGTGAGGCAATCTCCTCCATCATCTTTATAACTTGTTGAAAGTGACAGTGCTTTTTTTTTACTCGGAGAGTTGTTATGGTCTGGAATACACTGTCTGAAAGGGTGGTGAAAGCAGATTCATTAATAGTTTTGAAAAGGCAATCGTAGATGCTCTGTTGACAATCTTTTCAACATCCTTGGATTCAAATATGGTGACAGAACACTAGAGATTGCTAACACAACACATTTGTACAGAAATGGAGAAAAGAGTAAGCCAAGTAACGAAAGCCCACTCAGCCTTACAATGGACATTCATTTCGAGAGAATAATATGGAATGATAGAAAGAACCAGTTAGAAACAAATGATTACTAACGAGAGTTGCCATACATTTGTTAAAGGCAGTAATTGTTTGACAAATTTAACAACAGTTTTCTTTCAAATGAAATATCTGAGGGGACCGATAAAGGTCCTGCTATGGTTTAGGGATCCACTTTTGATAGGATGTGGCATAAGGCTTGTTTTCTATCTTTTAAAAATTGCATGGAAACGCTGGTTAGATCGTAGGAAGCAGACAGATTGAGTACATGGTTGTACATAGGGTAGTTTAACAGTGAAAAAGACTGTAAGAAACTTCAGGAGAACCAAGACACTCCATAGATTGGGTGGAAAACCAATGGCAGGAAAAATATTATTCGGAACAGGGAAATAAAAATTGTGGTTCAAATTTTTTCTCTCATTTCTTCTACTTTCACTTCTTGGTCCTCCCTCCCACAATCTCCATGCTTCCTGAGATCCCTCTCACACAGATCAGCTTTTATTGTATATACCATTAATAGGCAACAATAATAACAATAGCATTTATAGTGTCCTTCTCACAGTGCTGTAATGTATTTTTCTAGGAGGAGCATAAGTTTTAATTTGGTGAGGATACTGAAATAGGGAAAAAAGATTGGGTGGAGAAAATTGTCAGGAAAAAATTAAGCACAAAAGTGCAATCATACATAATCTGGAAGGAAGAAAAGGGGTAGATAACCTATAATAAATGATAACCTTTTAAAAGTAATGGAAAAGCAGAGAAATTAACTAGGTCTCAAAATGGATGGCCCGAGAGCATCAGACGAGTAGGAGGACAGGCAGTGACGCATAGGACGCATGTGGTGGGTAAGGAAGCAAGGGGTAGCCAGTGGAGCAGGCAAAGTTTGGTGCCAATGGTTGGCTCTAACAATAACAACAACTTGCATTTATATTGCGCCCTTCACATGGGATAGCGTCCCAGAGCACTTGACAATGGCAGAGTCTGAACCTGAGCCAGGGCGAGAGAGGTGGGAAAATGATCATAAGCACAATCGAAAAGGAAGGTCTTTAGGTGGTATTTGAAAGTGGGGAGGGAAGGGACAAGGCAGACGGATTGAGGGAGAGATTTCCAGAGTCTCGGAGCACAGTAGCTGAAGGTCCAGCCACCAATGGTGGAGGGACCAAGGGACAAGCAGGAGGCTGGAGCCAGTCGAGCAGTGGAGTTCTGACTTAGTTCTAAATTTTGCTTATGGTGGAGCTAGGGAGATCAGCGAGGAGGATATTGCAATAAATCCAGCCACGAAGTAACAAAGGCATGAACAAGGGTTTTGGCTACTTTTGTTGTGTGGTAAAGACAGGGGCAACCAATATGACAGAGAAGGAAAAAAAGGAAAACTGGGGATCGAACCTGACACTCAAGTTGTGCACGGGTTTATTGAGTCTGAGGGAGACCCTGGAGAGGTTGAAGAGTTCAGATGCACAGGAGAGAAGACAATGACAATGAGGCATAGAGTATGGCTTCTCTCTTGCCAGGAAATTCAGCTGCATGGAGCTTGTGCTCCTCAAGGCCCTGATGTCTGTCAAACAAGCTGAAATAGTTTCTCTTTGTTTACCCTATCGAATCCCTCTCATGATTTTGAAACTTCTATTGAGTCTCCTCTTAACCTTCTCTGCTCCAAGAAGAATAGTCCTAGCTTCTCTATTTCTCCTAATAACTGAAGTCCCTCATTCCTGGTAAATGTCCTTTGCACTCTCCCATGCCTTGACATCCTACCTAAGGTGTGGTGCCCAGAACTGAACACAATCTCTAGCTGAGGCCTAACCAGTGTTTTATAAAGGGTCATCGTAACTTCTTGACTTTTGTATGCTCTGCCCGTATTTATAAAGCCTAGTATCCCACATGCTAAAGGGAACGTTCTCTGACTGGCAGGAGGTGACAAGTGATGTCCCCCAGGGGTCTGTACTGGGACTCAGCTATTTGCCATATATATAAATGACTTGGATGATGGAATGGTAAGTTTTATATCCACGTTTGCACACGACACTAAGTTAGGAAGCTCAATAAGTTGTGTAGATGGGAATAGGAAGTTACAAAGGAACTTCGACAGATTAAGTGAGAGGGCAAAGCTGTGGCAGATGGAGTTCAATGTAAGGAAGTGTGAGGTCATCCACTGTGGACCGAAAAAAGATAAAGCAGAATTTTTTTTAATGGGGAGAAATTAAGAACTGTGGAGGATCAAAGAAATTTGGGTGTCCATCTCTGATCAAAGCTCCCTTGTCTATTCATCCACCTTGACCTCTTCTGCCTTCAATACTGTTAATCATTCTATTCTCCTCTGCTGCATTTCCATTCACCTCAATCTTTAAGGTCCTGTCCTTGATTAGTTCAAATGATACATTTTCCATTGGCTCCACTTTGCCCCATGAACAGCTTCTCCTCCAGCTCTCGCAGCATCTCATGTAGGGTTCCTCAAGCAGGGTACTTGTGCTTTGACAAGACCAGCTTTCTCATTGTCCTTGGTCCTCTCCTCTTCAATATTTACATGTTCCCCCTTGGTGACATCATCCGCAGACATGCGCTCAACAAGTTTGCAGGTAACACCCAACTCCATCTCTCCGCCTCCACGTTCGACTCCAGGACCACTGCTGTCCTTGATGTCTGTCAGATATCATGTCCTGAATGAGAGCTAATTTTCTTCAGTTGAATGACAACAAGACCGAGGCCTTCCTGCTTGGTTCCCATCAGCACCTCCACACTTCATCCACTATACACCTCACTAAGCTAGTACAGAATCTTGCATCTTTCTTTGACCCTGAAATTCTTTTCTACCCCCAAATCTGTGTCGTGACTGGTTCCACCTTCCCCCATGATTGCAGTAAGTTTGGAATTAGGGAGGGTGGAGGGAAGGGAGGGTAGGAAGGTGGCCGAAGGCACCGTCCAAGAAGCGGGTCTTGAGACATGCATTGAAGAAGGCAATGGAGGGAGTGAGGGGAAGGGACTATGGGATGGCGTTCCAAAGGTTGCAGGTCAAGAGTCTGAAGGCCTGCCCCCCAACGGTGGGGCGGGCTGGGCAGGGGGCATGGAGCAGGCCGGAGCCTGCTATGCGGAGGGAGCGGGCAGGTTGCTATGGGGTTAGCAGAAAGCAACAAGACCATGCAGGGCATTGAAGGCGAGGACAATGATTTTGAACTCTTATCTTCTGGGGGATGGGGAACCAGTGGAGCTAGATGAGGGTAGAGGTGATAGGCTCACGAGCCTGGTGTGGGAGAGGACATGAGCGGCAGAGTTCTGAATAATCTGCAGCTTGTGGAGGGAAGAGTTTGGAAGTTCCGACAAGTAGGAAGTTGGCATAGTTAAGCCTAGATGTGATAAATGTGTGGATGAGTGTGTTGGTGGCCTGAGTGGAGAGGCAGTGGCAGAACCAGGCAATGTTGCGAAGGTGGGGCAAGGCAAGGTGGGTCATGGCTCAGTTGTGGGATAGAAAGGACAGTTGAGGGCCAAACAACACCAACAAATTACATTTGTATAGTGCCTTTTATGTCAGGAGGATGTCCAAAGTTCTGGACCAGCTCACTGAGGTGGAGTTTGCAGCCGTGGATGGTGCTGCTGCCTGTGCCTAAGCTGTGGAGGTGCTAACGGGAGCCAATCAGGAGGGCCTTGATCTTGTTGACATTCAACCTTTGAAGGTTAGATCTCATGATGTCTTGATGTCTGATAAATATATAATATTACTTAAGGGAAACAGGAAGTGCTGCTGCTGCTTTAAATGGATTTAGTTGCAGAAGCTTTTGCAAAGGACTTAGCAGAGTACATGAGGTACCCGGGGTGCAACGATGTGTAGGTCCTGGGCTGATTGATTGACAGTCAGTTAACAAGCAGCCTGGAGAGTGGAAGAGTACATGCGCTCTTGCGTGGGAAAGAGCCCTCGCATTGCTTGCCTATTATAGTGGTAACGGTCACCGTCAGCGACGTACTGACGTGTACAGGACTACTCTACTATTGCGTTGGTTTAAATCTATTTTACTAATGTAGTATTGTGCTACAAGTTGATATATTTATGTCTGATAGTCATGTTTGTATATCTTATTGTTGCGTATCTTAATTTGTTGAGTTCCTTATATGCAAGGCAGCCAAGGGTTGCTAGGTCTTAATAAAGAGCTATTGTTTCTACCAACTGTATGTTTGAGACTCTGTAATATTCTAAAACAAGAAAAGGAGTAAGAACTTCAGAGAGAAGCTGTCGACATTGGAGTACTGTTGGTGCGAGCAAACTCCGATTAGACATTCCAGTTACCGGGCATTGGAGTTAACTGGGAATACCGGTCTGTGAGTGTGACTGAATCGGTTGAGTCACCTTCGAAACTGGAACTCACACTGACAGGGTTAGGAGAGAGGAGGCCACTAAGTACGAAAAGCGTATTTAGTAATAAAATTTGCATGTACATCAAGGAGTGAGAACCATCACAGCATGTACATGTTTTGAGGAGAAGGGGACCAAGGAGAGTCTCCTGAGGAATGCCGCGCAAGATGGTGCAGGGGCTGAAGGAGAAACCGTTTGTGGAAACAAAGTGGAGATGGTGTGAGAGGTAGGATCTGAACCACATAAGGCAGAACCATGAAGGTTGAAATGAGAGGAGAGGTGGTGGAGGAGGATTGAGTAGTCAACGGTATCAAAGGCAGCAGAGAGGTCAAGAAAGATGAGGAGACAGACAGCCCTGGTCACAGATGGATAAAATGTCATTGGGCAGTTTGACCAAGGCTTGTTCTGTGCTGTGGGTAGCATGGAAACCTGATTGGAAGGGTTTGTATAGGGAGTGGTGGAAAAAACGACTCATGTCAGGACTTTGGAAAAGAAAAGGAGGTTGGAGATTGTCAGTAATTGGGGAGCAGGAATGGGTCCAGTGAAGGTTTTTTGAGGATAGGGGTGATGACAGCTTTTATTTAAGGGGGTTGGATCAGTGTCACAAGACAGGAATGATGATGTCTGCGAGTAAAGGAGCCAGGGAGTTGGAGCTGGGAGGTAAGAAGTGGGGTAGGGATGGGATTGAAAGAGCAGGTGGTGGGTTTCATATGAGTCATAATGGTGAGAGAGGAGGGGGGGGGGTGGATAAATTCTAAAATGTGGAGGAAGGGATAGGCAGGGACCGGAGTGTGCGGGTGAGGTGTGGAAGAGGTAGGTGTTGGAAGGGCAGAGGCAGCTGAGTGGATTCCCTTGTTTTTGGTTTTGAGGAAGTCCAACATCTCAACGCAGTTGAGGTTGGAGGAAAGGATGGGCAAAGTGTATGAGGGTAGGCGGAGAAGCTAGTTGGTGGTGGTAAGGAGGAGCCTGGTGTTGTCCTTGGCCTCCAAGGTTATTTTGTATTTGAAGGATGATTTAGCAGAGGCAAGGGCGGATGGTAAATTTTAATGTGATCCAGCCAGATCTGCCAATGGACCATTAAGTTAGATTTGAGCCAGGTGTGTTTGGCAGCAAGTACCTGTGTCTTGAGGGCGCAGAGGTGGCTGGTGTACCAAGATGTCTTGTGTAAGCAGGAGGCAGTTTGGGAGGTGAAGGAGCAAGGGCATCGAGAGTGGAGCCGAGGCACTTGTGGAGGAGAGCGACTGAGGAGAACATTCCCTTCGCCTCGCTCCCTCCCTTGTCTTCTTCAAGGCCAATATCAAGACCCTCCTATTTGATCATGCATTCGGTCACCTTCCTACCCTTCCCATCCCTGCCCTCCACACTCCCTGATTCCAAACCCCAGCTGAGTCCAAATCCCTGACTGTCCAGCGCCTTTGGACATTCCTCCCAATGTGAAAATTCAGGATATGGTGGTTCTGGCTAGACAGGCATTGAGAAGTTTCCCATGCAAGCAAAATAATTTTATTGGGTTAAACTCCAACGCACACTCTGGGGTCCCCAATCTCATCTCTTGCCCAAGACTTGGTTGTCTCTTGCACCCTGTACTCTCTGGAATTAGGTAAACAGAATGATTCACTATGGGGAGAGAGTGAGTATTCCATTCAAATGTGCAGTTTGAATGTATTTTGTGGGCCAATGCAGCATCCAATTTGTACATAGCAATGTCCCATGAGTGCATGACCAATTATATTTGGGGGATCGTTGGCCATGACACTGGGAGAAACTCTCTTCTCCAACTCCCTTCTCTTTTTCAATATATCCATGGGATCTTTATCGCCCACCTGAACTTGTTGTAACATCTCATCGGAATGACAGTATTTCTAATAATACAGCATACCTCCAGCACTACAATCTCAGACAATGTGATTTCAAGTACTGACATGGTATTGAACCCACCAATTTTTGACTCAGAGGTGAGAGTGGGCTTAGCGGAGGCAGTAAATAGCTTTCTTCTGCACTGGAAATGTTTATTGTTCTATGATTAATGATGAACGATAGAGAAATCCACACAGGTGTAGCTTCAGAGGAGCTATTTCCTCTCCAGAGGAAAGTCCAAGCATTGAGAAAAATACAGACAGTCAGAATTATGAATTTAAAGTCTCAGTTATTTAGCTTGAACCAACCACTTCTGACCAAGTTGACAACAGTGATATCAACTGAGCTAAGCACCTTGTTTTATTTTCACAGGATGGTTGTTCCCAGAATGGGCCTACAGGTCTGAGTCCAGCCCTGGGAGCAGACAAATTCAGCTCTGGCATTTTATTTTGGATTTGCTCCAGAGGGAAGAGTATCGAGAAGTGATATGCTGGCAGGGGGAATATGGACAATTCGTGATCATAGACCCTGAGAAAGTGGCGAGACTGTGGGGGCAGCGAAAGGGGAAAAAGCACATGAATTATGACAAGCTAAGTCGTGCTCTCAGGTAAGCACAGGGTTCTTGAGCCTCTTCTCCATCTCTATCATTTTCTCAGTGATTTGCATTTGCGTTTTCGTAATGCTGTTCAAGTCGCCCCCCGACTTGTCCTTCTGTTTCCCATAGAGTCCCATAAATATCCAGCTTGTCTCCTCCGTTGCCCAGTGTGTATTCTCTACCTCTTTCTGTTTCCAGTGTCTATCCTATCTCCCAGTGTGTCTCCTCCATATTCCTCTGTTCCCAGTCAATACTGTCCACTTGTTAATGAACCTGGAGGTTAAGTCAGCTTCATGTCTATTTACAAAGCACCTCACATGAGCACCTGGATGATTTTCTTTAAGTCTGTGACATGATATTGGATTTGGACGTCTGGAACACCATTGTGGACAAATCACAAGCTAGCTGTCCTGGATAGGTTTTCCCACCACAGGAATGAGCGATGTCCATCAAATTGCTCATGAGAAAATTCTGAAGCTTGGTGTGATGGGTGCTGGAAGCACTACCTGGAGTCTGGTTTCACGTTGAATGTAAAGTATTCTTGATGACCTCTTCAATGGATTCTCCAGCCCCACTATACACAAGTTGCTTACCATCCAGAACTCAGCAGCACATGCTTTTTTTCCAAAAGGCCCCGAGCTCAACCACTCCACCCTTGCTTGTTTCTGTTGACTTCATATTGCCAGCCCATCGCTGCACCATTCCTACTGCCCTGACCAACCCCTGCTCTCAGCAAACACTGTCTGGTTCCTGCTTCCAGACAGACCTATGCCAGCATCAGTGGGCAAGCTTCATGCTATTCTGTGTCTCATCTCTGGAACTCTAGCCCAAAGTCTTTCCACCTCCATCTGCGCCTCCAAAACTTGCCATAAATGCTATTACTTCTATGCGCCTTAAAACCTGCACTTAATACCATTGGGCATCTTTAATTTTGGTGGGGAGTGGGGGGACGTCAGCAGGACACTGGGAGAAGCTCGATTTTCTTTTTTAAAAGTGCCATGGGATCCACTCTGTTGCATAATCGTCTAACAATTCCTATGTTCTTTAACATCTGCCTGATTAGGCAAATGTGACTTCAATTTAATGACAGTACCTCAAATAATGTAGATGATATTGAGTTCTAAGTTTTGAGATTGTTCAGAGGCAAGATTGTTAACAACTGAGCAAGGCTGACAGGCCTATATCAATGATGGAAGGTCTCAACTTTCAATGGTATGCACAGAGGTTATTTCTCACATTGTGTAATTCGAACTGTTGAGCTGTCCTCCAATGAGGGATTTTTTTTGGTGTTTGACACGTGCAGAAACCCAATATGTGCAATTTTCAGTTTGGTTTGGATACTCTGAAGCATTGGTGGTACGTAAGACACAAACATCACCAGTGCATCTCCTCTACATCCCCTTTTCAGTCTGTATTATCCCTCTGATCTGGGTGTTTCTCCTCTATTGCCACCTTTTCATCCATATCTGTCTTTTCCCTTGCATATTTCCTCTGCAACTGTTTTCTCAGTGTTTACTCTATTTCCAGGTCGTTCCCCCAATATGTCTGCTCTTTATCCCTCTGTTTGCAATGTGTCCTGTCTCCATCCCTTTGTTTCCAATTTATCTCTTCTATCAATGAATCCATATGTTTCCTATCCTTTTTACCTTCTCTTTCACTTCTAAACGTTCACTTGTAAATAAATTATTGTACAAAATGGAATTCTCTTCTCATATCTTTATATTCTCCATTCTCTATCTTCTCGCTCTCTCTTCCCTCAACTCTACCCTCCCCTGTCTATTTCTATGAATTCTATTTCTCTCTATGTAATCTCTCAGCCAGATGTCTTTCATCCCACTCTCCTCTCTCTTTGATCAACATCTTTAAAAAACATAAGAACATAAGAATTAGGAGCAGGAGTAGGCCATTCGGCCCCTCGAGCCTGCCCTGTCATTCGATAAGATCATGGCTGATCTTCAGACCTAACCCTAATTACCTGCCCTATCCCCATATCCCTAATCCCTCTTTTTTAAAAATCAATCAGTCTCAGCCTTGAGGTTGTTCAAGGACTGAGCCTTCTGGGGTAGTGAATTCCATAAATCACTACCCTCTGAGTGAAGATATGTTTCCTCAACTCTGCTCTAAAAGGCTGACCCTTAATTTTAAGACTGTGACCCCTGGTTTTAGATTCTCCTACCGGGGGAAACAGACCCTCAGTGACTACTTTATCAGCCCTTTAAGAATCTTATATGTTTCAATAAGATCTCCCCTAATTCTTCTGTATTTGCCTGTCTGTCTCATACTCTGTCTCTTCTCTCTCTTCCTCTCAGGTGTTTCTCCCCTTTATTTTGTTTCTCTGTCCCCTCACCTCTCATTTTCTCTCTCCACTATTCTGTTTTTCTCTTCATTTTCTTTGCCCGTATTCATACTCTCTCTCCAGGTATTATTATAACAAGCAGATTCTGCAGAAGACAAAGGGGAAACGTTTCACCTACAAGTTTAACTTCAGTCACCTGTTCCTTGTTCATTACCCAATCTGGGATGTGAATAACAGACACCTCACGCTATCTGGGCTCCAGTCCTTGCCCTCGCCCATACCTCTATCCCCACCTCTATCCGAGTCCACACCCCTGCCCTTTCCCACACCAATGGCAGTGCCCCCTCGCTTATCTCTACCCATACCCCTATACTTTCCCAAACCATTTCTGCCCATGCCTCTGGCTGTGCCCCCTTCCCAATCTCTGCCCACTTCCCTGATCCTGAACCGGCCTCTGTTTGTGCCACTGCTCCTGGCTCTGCACACTCCACAGAATCTTGGATCTGAGTCCTTCCAGGCTGCTCAGCTCCGAATCCGGGTTCCCTCAGAGGTATGATGTAGTTTTGGGTTATTTGTTGTGTCTGAGTGAAGGATGAAGGCTTTTGTCATGTTTATTTGTATATAAAACACTGACCAGTGCTTTCCTGAAGCGCATACAAGGCGGAATGGGCTCAGGCCACCCCACAGGTGACCTGTATACAGAGCTGAATAGATCAGTGCAGCATCCCAATGTTGAAATACACATAAATGCTTTTCGGTTTGCTCTCCCCCACCTTGTTCAGGAATCACTGCATCCACACTTTCTCAATCCTTTGTGTATCACTTCAAAATGTATATTGATACCTAACAGCTGTTCCTTCACCTTTATTACCGTTACGGTATTCTATTTTAAATATAGGTTAAAAAAGACAGTTTTTTTAACTTTTGAAATATTTTGTCCTTTGAATTGGACACCACATTCGTAGAAACTGATTCACGCATTAACATTGTGATCAAGGTGTCTATGAATGCATTAAATGTGATAACGGTCAATGGATTTACCAAATGTTTGTGTTACAGGCGATGTCCTACCCTCTTTGTCCTCTACTTTACCGAAATCTATCTCACTTAAATTATCCACTGGCTTTTCCATTCTCCAAATATATATCAAACAAAACTACCTGTTTGGAGATGGAAGAGTCAGAATTCAGATTCTGAGCGGTAGCAGAAAACCATAGAAGCAATTATGATCTCATATCGGCAAGTCAAGTATCAGAAAATATGTTGCTTTCTGACCGAAAAATAACATATGGCTAAAAAGACTTCAAAATGAAACAGAAATAAACAAGAATTAAATCAATTTCTCTGGTTCCTGCCTGATACGGGACAATGTTTTGCTCTATAAATTTAGTTTGCACAGAATCAAGATTAAGATGTCACCAAATTCCATGTGGATTGTTCTGATTATTAGTATTATTTGTTGTTTGCTCACTGGCTGATTTTCTCTTATACTTAGAGTTTCGCTACTATTTTTTACTCTACCACTGTTAAGGCCTAGTAAATTCTACCCCACGTAGGCAATTATGTAAATACAAGCTGTTGTTTTTGTCAACACAGCTGTCAGATTGTTGGGCAACATCCTGCAAAACATGTGAATAACTAATTTTATTTTGGGGCTTTGTTAGCCAAGATACCAGGATAAACTCCCTTCTCTTTCCAAAAAATACCATGGGAATCACTTGAAGATACCCGTTACCTGATCCTTGGTTTAATGTCTCATCTGAATGACAGCACCTCCAACAATGCAGAGCACCCCTAGTACTGAACTGGAGCACTGAACGAGTACTCATAACCTAGACTAGGAGTTCAAAGTGTCGTCTTGGATCTTGAGGTTAGAAACCTTTTGTATCTGGGTGACGATGCTATTCCCTGAGCAATGTTGCCACCCAACAGTTTTCATAAAAGATTCTGATATGAAAAGAGAAGTACTTTGTTGAAATTCTGAATAAAATATATTCTTTAATATAAAGCACTCATGATTTTTCTGGGAAAATGCAAAAAAAAACTGACATCTTGAGAAACCAGAATCCATCTATTCACGTCATAGAAGAAAATTAATTCAGCCAATTTACAAAACATGCCTCATAGCATCTCTCAGTTTCTTACAATTTTCGTGTTTGATCAATCCATTTGAGTATAAGTTTTGTAAATGTTAGCTTGCTATCCAGTGTGTTGTTTAGACTTGTGAAATCTGTGTAAGGAAAACATATTTAAACAATATATAAAATAAAGTAAACAATTTAAATATTGCTCATTCACATTCAATTTATATGGATACATTCTTGAAGTGGTTACAAAAGAAATCAGGTCCAAATATCTAGATTAAGAAATTCCTCTCTCTCACTTAACTCTGTGAGCCTATCACTCCCATCCTGGCTGGACTCCACAGGTTCCCCATCTGCCAGAAGACTGAGTTGAAGATCTTTGTTCTCACTTTGAAATCCCTGTTCTCCATGGACTTGCCCCATCCTTATTATGACTTTCTAAAGGCCCTCCCTTGTTCCCTCCTGGCGCTCGGCAGGCACTGGTCTGCATCATGTCCCCAGCCCTGTTCATTCACCATTGGGAGTCGGGCTTTCACTCTATCTGCCCACTCTCTGGAACTCCATCCTAGAGACAGAGGTCTTGCTTGTTTCCTTGTCTCCTTCAAGATCCATCTCAAGATGGTCAATCATCTTTCCCTCACCATCCTACTCCCATTGCCATAACCTCCCTGAATCAAATCCAGCTTGGGTGTAAACTCTTCACTGTCCAGTACCATGGGAGATCCTCCCAACATGAAAAGTGTTTTAAGAAGGGCGAGGCCATGTCCAGAAAACAAAACTTGCACAACGGTTTTAACAAAGCAATACCTTTGGTATTTTTTTTTGCGTTTTTTCGAGTTTTGTGTGTTGTATTTGTTTTGAGTATTTTTAAATATATTTTTGTTATATTGACTCCTGATCATTATTCTTAACATCTTTGGTGTGTTTTGTTCTTGTTTTTTGGAGTATTTGTGTGTTATCATTTGTTCTGCGTTTTTTTCAAGTAATTTTCCGTATTGTCTCCTCGTTATTTTTTTCAACATGTTTGGTTATTATTGTTTTTTTTTCTTGAGGGATTATTATCGGGCATGTGGAGTAAGGAAACTTGCCCAGGATTTCACCCACATTTCTCGCTTACAAAGTGAGTGCTCTAACCACTGAGCTATATGACTCGAGGAAAAAAGTTTTTTTCCCATGTTTTTGTGTGTTATTATTTGTTTTGCTTTTTTTTTTCATATTTCCTCATATTGTCTCCACATCATTTTTCTCAACATCTTTGGCATCTTTTTCGTGTATATTGGTGTTTTTGTGTTTTATCATTTGTTTTGCGTTTTTTTCAATGTATTTTTGTCGTATTGTCTCCCCATCATGTTCTCCGCATCTTTGGTGTCTTTTTCCATGTTTCTCGCATTTTTGTGTGTGTGTTCTCATTGTTCTGCATTTTGTTCACATTTTTCTTCCCGTATTGAATTCGCATTATTTTTCTCAACAACTTTGCTGTTTTTTTCACGTTTATTAGTGGTTTATCATTTGTTTTTTGGTATCTTTTTTCATGTTTATTGTTATCATTTGTTTTGTATTGTTTCACGTATTTTTTGTTGTATTGTCTCCTCTTCGTTTTTCTTAACATCTTTGGCGAGTATTTCTCTGAATTTTTGTGGTTTACCATTTGTTTTGCCTTTTTTGTCAACAAATTTGGTGTCTTTTCACATTTTTNGGTGTTTCTCTGTGCTATCATTTGGTCTGAGGTTTTTTCATGTATCTTATTCTATTGTCTCCTCATTAATTTTTGTCAATTTTTTTCGTATTTTGGTGTGTTGTCATTTCTTCTACGTTTTTTTTCAAGTACTTTTGTCTCATGATTTTTGTCAACATATTTAGCAACTTCTTTCATGTTTATTGGCGTTTTTGCGTGTTATCACTTGTTTGCGTTTTTTTCACATATTTGTTCATATTCTCTCATTGGGCTGCTATGATATTGGGCTCTCCCAATAGTAGACTCACTGATATTGCACTCCCCCGATAGCGGGCTTCCCCTATATTGCACTCCCGCGATTGTGGGCTACCCAACAATGAGCTCCCCCGATATTGGGCACCCCCAATATTGGGCACCCCTGATAGAAGGCTCCCAGATTGTGGGCTCCCCCAATATTCAGATCCCCGATCTGAATTTTGCTCCTGCAAAATTGGACTTCCCGAATATTGACCTCCCCCGTTATTGTGCTCAGCCTATATTGGGATCCCTCGATAGTTGGCTCCTCCAATAGTGGGCTTCCCCTGATAGTAAGCTCCTCGGATAGTGGGCTCCCCGATATTAGACTCCCCTGATAGTAGGCTCTACTATTATGCCCGAATACTGCGCTACCTCGGTATTGAACACCCACAATATTGGGGTCCCTTGATAATGTGCACCTTTGATATTGTTCTCTCCCAATATCGGACTTCCTGCAATAGTGGGTACCCCCGATATTGTGCTCCTCCGATATTGGACTCCCCTGAATAGTGCCTCCCCTAATAGTGGGCACTACTGACATTGGGCTCCCACAATAGAAAGCTCCCCAATATTGGGCTCCTTAAATATTGGACTCTCACAATATTCGCCTGCGTTGTTTTTGGGTTACCCTGAAATTGGATCCCTTGATAGTTAGTTCTCCCCATATTGGGCTCTGAAGATCGTGGGATACCCCAATATTGGCCTCCCAAGTTATTGCCATCCCCTGTTATTGGACTCCCCCGAGTTTGTGGTCTCTCTATAATGGGCTCCCCGTTTTGGTGTACCCCCAATAGTGGGCTCCCCCAATATTGGACTCCTTCAATCGTGGCCTCCCTCAAAATTGGAATCCCCCAATATTATGGTCCATTTATTGTGGGCTCCCCCGTTTGCAGGATCCTCAGATATTGGACTCCTTCAATATTGGGTTTCCCTGATAGTGGTTTCTCCCGATAGTGGGCTCATTGAATATTGGTCTCCCACAATATTAGGCTCCATTTTATGGGGCTCCCACAATAGTGAGCTCCCGCAATAGTGTTCTTCCCCAATATTTGGCTCCCCTGATCGTGGTCTCCCCCGTTATTGGGCTCCCCTGATATTGGACTCCCCTAATATTGGCCTACCTCATTATTGGGCTCGGCTGATTTTGGGGTCCCTCAATATTGAGCTCGCCCAATAATGGGCTCACAAGATTGTAGTCATCTCCAATATTGACCTCCCAAAGAATTGGCCTCCCCCGTTATTGAACTCCATCGATATTGGTTTCCCTCGATCGTTCGCTCTCCCGATATTGGGCTTTCAATTTTATGGCCTCCACCAATATTGTGCTCCCAAGTTATTAGCCTCACCTATTATTGGGCTCCCCTGATATAAGATTCCAATAATATTAGGCACGCCGATAGTGAGCTTCCGCAATTGTGGGCTTCCCCAATATTTGGCCCCCCTGATAGTGGTCTCCCGCGTTATTGAGATCCATGATTTTAGGCTCTCCCGATATTGGACTCCCCCAAATATTTGTCTTGTTATTGGGCTCACCCAATATTGAGCTCTCAAGATAGTGGTCACTGCAATATTGTTTTCCCAATATATTGGCCTACCCCGTCATTGAACTCCTCCAATACTGGGCTCCCGCAATAGCGGGCTACCATGATAGTGTGCTCCCCCAATAGTGGGCTTTCCTGTTATTGGGCTCCCTCCATATTAGGCTCTACCAATATTGGGTTCCACAAACAGTGAGCTTCCACAATAGTGGGCTTCCCCAATATTTGTTTTGCTCCCCTGATAGTGGACTCCCCCATTATTGGGCTTCCCCGATTTTGCAGTCTCTCTATAATGGGTCCCCGATATAAGCTGCCCTCGTGGTAACCCCCAAAATTGGACTCACTAATAAGTTTGGGCTCATCCAGCCCCTGAGATCTGACAGGCAGGCTGACAGAACATCAGCGGACTGGGGTCGCAAAGAGAGGTGGAAAGTATCAGAGGGAACCCAATAACGGGGGAGCCTAATATTGGGGCAGACCAATATCGGGATAGCCCACTATCAGGTGAGCCTACTATCGGTTGAGCCCAATATCGGTGGAACCAAATAACGGTGGCGCCTAATATTCGGGAAGCGCACTATTGAGGTAGCCACCTATTGGGGAACCTAATATTGAGGGGGCCGAATATCGGAGGAGTTCACTAACGGGGCAGACCAATATTGGGGGAGTCCATTATCGAGGGTCCCCCAATATCGGGGAGACTTTTTTTATTCTCATATATATATATATATATATATTTCCAGCAGGGTGAAACCTTGGGCAAGTTTCCTTACTCCACGTTCCTTACTCCACGCGCCTGATAATAATCCCTCAACAAAAAATTGGTCATTTCAATTCACAACGATTTGCGGGACACTGCTGTGCACAATTGGCTGCCGCATTTTGCCCACAAGTATACAGTCAATTCACTATTATTATTATTATTCAGTCTATTCTGTGTAGCGCTTTGAGATGTCTAGAAGACGTGAAAAACGCTATGTCAAATGCAAGGATTATTATTATTATTGTTACTTCAATAGGGCTAGCCCACTAATGGGTGAGCTCAATATTAGTGGAACCCAATATCGGGGAGCCCAATAATGAAGGAACCCAAAAGGTTGGGAGCCCAATATTGGGAGAGTCAACTACTGAGAGACCCCAATAATGGGGGGAGCCCAATATCGGGGGATCTGGCTATCGGGGGAATCCAATAATGGCGGAGCCTAATATCGGGCAGACCAATACTGGCCAATCCACTATCGGGGGAGCCCACGATCAGGGGAACTCAATATCAGGGGAGCCCAATATTGAGGTAAACCAATATTCAGTGAGCCGACTACCACGGTAATCATATCGTGCGAGACCACTATCAAGGGAGCCCAATACTGGGAAAGTCGACTATCAGGGAACACAATATCAAGGGAGCACAATATTGCAGGAGCGCAATAACGAGTTAGGCGAATACTCTGGGAGACCAATATCGGGGAATCCCAATAAGTGGTAGGGCAATAACTTGGGAAGCCAATGTTGGGGAATCCCACTATCTTTCAGACCTCAATGTGGGGAAAGCCCACTATCGAGGGACCCAATTTCGGGGGAATCCAATAATGAGCAAGTCAATATTGGAGGAGACCAATATCAGGGGAGCCTAATATCGGGTATCCACATAACGGGGGAGCCCTCTATCTGGGGTGCCAAATATTGGGGAAACCCACAATCAGCGGAGTGCAATATCTGTGGAACGTAATATCGGTGAAGCCTAATAATGATGGAGCCCAATATCAGATGAGCCCTCTATCAAGGGGAGCACAATATCTGGGGAGCCCACTTTCGTGGGAGGTCATTCTCGGGAGAACTCAATACTGGTGAGCCTTCAACTAGGGGAGCCCAATATCGGGGAAGACCAATATTGGGGGAGCCCAATATCCGGGGAGAACACTATCAAGGCAGGCCAATGTTGGGGGAGTCCAATATTGGTGGAGCCTAATACTGGGGATGCCAATAACATAGGAGCCCACTATCGGGAAGCCCTATATTGGGAAAACGCACTACCGGGGGAGCACACTATCGGGGGAGTCAATATTGGGGAGCCTTCAATCGGTGGATTTCAATATGGGGCGGGGGGCTTAATATTGAGGATGTTAATAAAAGGGCCAGTATCGGGGAAGCCCAATATTCGGGGAGCCCACTATCATGGGAGTCAGTCATTTGGGGAGACCACTATAGGGGGAACACAATATCGAGGGAGCCAAATATCAGAGAAGCCCCCCAACGAGGGGTCCTCCATGGAGGGACCACAGTATTGGGGGACTCCAATTTTGGGTGAGCTCTGATCGGGGGAGTCCATTACAGAGGGACCCCAATATCGGGGGGATTCGAGAAACAGGGGAGGCCAATAATTTGGCACGCCAATATTGGGGGAATCCACTATCCCGAGAGCCCAATATCGGGAGAGCCCACTATCAAGGGGCCCCAATTTCGGGGGAACTCAGTAACGAGGTAGGCCAATATTGGGGGAGTGCAATATCGGGGAAGCCTAATATCGGGGTTCCAAATAACGTGGGAGCCAACTATGATGGGAGCAAAGTATTGGGGAAGTCCAAAATTGGGCGAGCCCATTATCGGGAGAGCATAATATTGAAGGAGCCAATATCAGGGTAGCCTATCATCGGCGGAACCCAATATCGGGGGAGCCCACTATCCAGGGACCCCAATATCAGGGTAGCCGAATAACGGCGGGAGACCATATTGGAGGAGTCCGATATTGGGGATGTCAGAAACACAGGAGCCCACTATCGGGGAGCCCAATAATGCAGAAATCCATTATCAGGAGAGCACACTATCGGGGGAGTCCAATTTTGGGAGAGTAAATATCAGGGAGCCAATCGATGGAGTCCAATATCAAGGGAGTTTAATAGTGGGGATGTTAATAACAGGGGAGCCCAAATATTGGGGAAGCCCACTATTGGGGGAGACAAATTCCATGACCCCATCTCCCCCATTCTCACCCGATTCCATTGGCTCCCTATCCTTCAGAGGATCCAGTTCAAGATCCTGGTCCTCACATACAAAGCCCATGGGCTCACTCCACCCTACCTCTGCGACCTCCTAACCTCTACCAACCTGCTCACTCCCTCCACTCAGCCGGCTCCAGCCTGTTCCATGTCCCCCTATCCACCCGCCCCACCATTGGCGGGAGAGCCTTCAGCCACTCTGCCCCCAACCTCTGGAATTCCATCCCCCAATCACTCCGCCTCGACTCCTCCTTAGTCTCCTTCAAGTCCCACCATGCCATCGGTCACCACTCTTCCCTTCTCCCTCTCTGACCCCAGCTCAGGTCTGAAATGCTGTACACTGGCCAGAAACTTGGGACGTCCTCCCGTGCGCTATACAAATGTAATCTTGTTGTGGTTAGGGGAGCTCACTATCAGGGGAGCCCAATATCAGTGGAGCCCAATATTCGGGAGTCTAAAATTTAGACGTTGGTCTAAAATCTCACAGCTCTCACCTCTTCCACCTACCCGACCGCCCCCTTAAAAATCTCTGAACCCATTCACAACCGTACACATCAGGTTTGACCCCCAATTATCCTTCCTTCCCCACATCCAGTCCCTCACGAGCACCGCCTTCTACCACCTCCGTCTCTGCCAATACCTCTCCCCAAAAGCTGCTGAAACCCTGGTCCATGCCTTTGTCACCTCTCGGCTTGGACTACTCCAATGCCCTCCTCACCGGTCTCCCATCCACTGCCATCTATAAAATGCAAAACTCTGCCGCCCGCATTCTCAACCATATGAAATGGTCCCCGATAACCCCAGTCCTTGCCAGACTGCACTGGCTGCCTATCCCAGAAAGGATCGTTTTCAAGATTCTCACCCTTGTATTCAAGTCCCTGCACTCCTCTGCACCCCCCGACCTCTCTGAACTCCTCTCTCCTCAAAACAGTACCCGTTGCCTTCGTTCCTTCGGGTCTGGCTTCCTCCTCGTCCCCTGAGACCTCTGCTCCACCCTCGGCGGCCATGCCTTCAGCCACTATACCCCGAGGCTCTGGAACTGCCTTCCTCACTCCCTTCGTCTCGTTCCCTCCCTTCCCATTTTCTGCTGAAGACCTTTCTTTCCCACCGCACCTTTGGTCACCTCCCCCTGGCCCCTCCCCCTGGCCCCTCCCACTGGCTCAGTCCCAGGATTCGCTACTGTAAAGCGCTCTGAGATGCCGTCCGGCTTGGAGGGCGCCATATATATAAATCCAAGTTGTTGTTGCTGTTTTGGGGGATCCTTGATAATGTTCTCCCCTGATATTGGCCTGCACCAAAAGTGGGCTACCACGTTAGTACTCTTTCAATATTGGGCTCCCTCGACATTGGGTTCCCCCAATAGTGGGCTTCCCTGGTAATGGATTCCCTTGATAGTGGTCTCCC